ATATATATATATATATATATTTAATTCAATAATCTAACAAATATACATAATAATTGCTATATATCCTACATATAAGATCCAAATATATAATTTATCAAGATTTAAAAAAGTAGTTAATCTAATTGATAATACTCTTGTACTATCTTTCTTAATTAATATTTTGTTCTCTTTTAACTAATTAAAGTGTATGTTTTATATTTTTTCTCTCTCATAATTAATACTACTTATTCACGTAATCAATTATAATATATATTTTTTAAAGAGTTTATAATATTTCATTAAACTAAGAGAATATGTTTTAATAAGGAGTATTTTACTCTAAAAATAATAAATATATCAAATATAATGAATTGAGTCTTACATAAGAAATAAATAATTATTATAAATTGAGTCTTATAAATAAGAATGACAATAGTATTTAATCAAGTTTTTAATTCAAATATCTATAAAAAAAATTATTTAAAAACTAATTATTTAACCAAATAAAAATATTTTCACCCCCCAATAGATTCAGTGGCTCTGAATGTGAATGAGAGTAGGATTGGCACACCTAGTAGAGGGGGCTTTGGTGGCTTGTGTCGGGACCATGAAGGACAGTTCCTTTTTGGCTTTTATGACTTTTTGGGGGAGGCTTCTGTTCTTCATACAGAGATCTTAGCTCTTCTCCACGACCTTCGTCTTTGTTGGGATAAAGGGTTTTGAAAGATTGTTTGTTATTCAGACTCTACTTTGGTGGTATCTCTCTTCCAGGGACCTATTCCAATGTTTCATCGCTACGGAAATCAGCTCATGGAGATTCATCAGTTACTCAATTGTGACTAGACTTGCACTGTTGTTCACACTTTACGTGAGGGTAATAGTTGCGTAGATGCTCTAGCTCGAATGGGAGCTTTAAGAAATGATAAGCTAGTTATTTTACAAGAACATCCTATGACTCTTTCTAATTTGTTACTAGCTGACTCTCTGGAGACTGTGTTTCAGAGATGCTAAGTTTTATTTGTATTTTTGTTAGTTTCTTCTTTTTATTTCTCATTCCAATATCAAAAATAAAAAATAATTTTTTTTTCATATATACTCTGATTATATTTTATTTAAATTAAATTCAATCACAAATAAAAATATTATATAACGGAGTTTGATTAAATCTAGAAAGCGTCAACATCAACGTGTTCGGCTCCTCTCCACTTCCTTAAAAAAGTTTGACATTTCCATTTTATTAAACATGTGCCTGACACGTGAATGACATTACTTTCATGCATAGTTTATAAGAATCGGATTCGCCATCAAATAGTTAGGATATTGGATAGTAGATCAAATATTGAATTAATGAATCACTAATTAATTATATGAATCAAATTATTATTATTATTTTTAAAATATTTATTTTAAATATATTTTATATTTATAAATTTTAATAAATTTATATCTTATTTTAAATTTTCATTTTCATTTTATTTAAAATTATTTTTACTTTTATTTTGTATAAAAAAATATATAAAAAAATTACATGTTAAATTATATATTAATATAAATAAAAATATAAAAAATATGTTATATATAATATACTTGCAATTAATATCACAAAATAATATATGTAATATCTACATAGATATTATATTATTAAATATATAATTTAAAATTAATATATTATAAAAGTTATTTAAGTTATATATATTATAAACAAAGACATTAAAACAAGTGGTCATTCCAAGCTAATTTTTAAAACTTTGCTTCTATGGTCCTAATTTAATTTTAATTAATCTATTTAATTTAAGAAATGAAACTAATTTCACATGAATATATAACAAGGTTATTCATGTCATTTACACATCAATTAAAAAAAATTATGTGCTCTCTTTAGTGAAACACGATGTCTTTTATGCAACAAGTAAAAATATTTATTTTACAATTTTCATTTCATTTTTTGGGGGACGTGCAAGTCTTCTCCATTTTTATATTGCTAGTACTTCGTCCAGTTCTCCATAGATGGAAAAACTTTTTTTTGTATTTGATCAATATGATATCTACTCCTTTTTCTTTTACACAAAACATTAAAATTTAATTTTTTTAAAAAACTTTTATGATAATTTCTTACAAGAATGTAAAACATCTTCATCATTTTTACATTACAGGTGCTTTGCTTTTCATAGGTGTTCTACTCTTCGTAACTATAAAGGCTCTTTTACATTTAGAGTAATGTGTATCCATTTTTCTTTAAATTAATTTTAAGTTAACTGAAACATATTTACACTTCTATGGATTCATTTTGACTAAAAATTCATTTCTTCTTTACTTAATAATAGAACATGCATTTGGGATTACATGTTTTTCTTTTTCTTTTTCTATGATATTTAAGATGTTGATTGTATTCTATTTTAGAAAATATAAATGTGTCATCTATTTTGGTAGTTGAAGGTATAGAGAAATGGATCAATAATATTCATGAAAATATTGTGTAAAATGGCCAAGAGTGTGTTGTTGACTATACACCTCACTTGAAAATGAATTTTGAATGAGGTAGCGGCTTATGAGTTTTATAATGAATATAGTAAGAAAGTAGGGTTTGTCGACATTCATCGTGAATATGAAAATAAAAGCAAAAATGATGAAATTTTGACTTCAAGAAAATTTTCTTGCTTCAAAGAGGTAAACAAAGTGTTGACAAATGAGACCATTTGACAAAAGAGGTAAGAGTAGACACTAGAACAAATTGTGGAGCACGTATGGTTAATATTTTAGTTGATTAGGAGATTGAAAAATACAAGGTTATTGACTTTGTAGCTCAACATAATCATCATCTTCAATTGCCATAATATATTCATTTGATTCGCTCTCATTGATGCATTTTTGAGTCACAAGCATCACAAATTATATTAGATGAAGAATCGAGATTAAAACCAAAAGATTTCCTTAAATATGTGTCCAAATAGGCTGGTGAAATAAACACACTTGGTTATACAATGCAAGATCATAAGAATAATCTTCGGACTAAGAGGATGCAATCATTAAGATATGGTGAAGTAGGTGCTTTGTTAATGTATTTTAGACAACAAAGTGAGAATCATTTGTTCTTTTATGACTTTCAAATGGATGTTGAAGAGTGAATAACAAATATATTTTGGGTAGATACACAAATGCTAAATGATTATGGGTACTTCAATGCTGTCATCCCTTTTGACACCACATACAAGACAAATAAGAATTATCGACCATTGAGAGTGTTTGTTGGACTTAATGAT